AATGGGTACAGTTTGTTATCATTGTTATCATTACTTCCATCAGTACAGTACTTAGAGAAAATGATGTACTGCACACTGATTTTATAATATCAGCAACAGTATTTTCTGCAAGCGTTTTCACAATAGCAGCAGTTTTGGTATGACCGCAGCTAATTTTTTTTTGCTATGGCAGAATCCGGAAACATTGCTTTGAAAAGCTCTTTGGAATGATCCGAAACAGAAAGCGGTAGATTATGTTCAATTAAAAAACGAACAAAATAGCATTCGGCTTTTATAGGATCTGTTTCATCATCTTTTATTAAGAAATTTGTTATTTCTTTAGATTTTACGGTGCCAAGTTCTATATGCTTTTGAGAAAACACATGCCGTTTACAGTCATCTTTTCCGCCATGAGCAACTGAGAAGTCTTTGTTGCATACACTGCAGTGTGCGTGATTCACAGAAATTTCGGACGCTTTAATGCATGGAAATTCTGAAGAATATGAATCTTTAAACTTCTGCTTTGATAATTTTGGCTTCTTCGTTCGAGGCAGCATTATGATTAAAAATCTTTCACCTGATTCACAGTTCACAAGACACACGGTAAGCTCTCGCCGTAAACTACACAATGCAGCCGAATGCAGCCTAAACACGCATCAGCGAGGAACCTGGGAGACAGACAATTGGGTGGAACTATTGATAAGTCGTTAACGGTTGGAGTTACTGATCTACGATTGGCTAATTCTTCAAAACTAGGAACACACTCAACACGTGATATATGATAACACGAGTATTCAGCCAATCATCGGATGAATTAGTTGGTTCCATTTTGCGTACTGGTTCTCCTGCTCTTGTTTCTGTAAAATCCGTAGTTTTTTCCATACTTTTCGTAGCTCGTAGTTTTTCATGAATTTCCGTAGAAACTACGGAGAATCCGTAGTAGTTGGAGTCTATGCGAAACTCTTCATTTAAATCATCTCCCATTCGGTTTAACTACTTCGCCATTTTCCTTGGCTTGCGTTTTGAAATTTCACATTAAGAAATTTAAGGAACATCATCCAAAATGTTATGACATGTTAAATTCTTTTCTTTATGTTGATGATCTCTGCTATGGAGCCAGTACTGTTCAAGATGCTTATTATTTGACGTCTACGGCAATACAGATATTAAAAGCAGCGGGATTTCATTTGAGGAAATTAAAAACTAATTGTCCGGAATTGTATAAACTTTGGAATGAAAACGGATATGAGGAAAATACTGACTTCGGGCAAGGAACAGGTTTCTTGGGATTGAAGTGGGATCCGATTGAGGATAAAATTAAATTAGATTTAAGAGATGTTAGGGATTCCATTGATGCTAGAATCACCAAGCGTCACGTTTTGAGAGTTATTTCAAAGATATTTGATCCATGTGGACTGATCAGTAATTCTTGTAATCACTGTGAAAATTCTTCTGCAAGAGATGTGGGAACGTGGTCTACAATGGGATGAAGATTTGCCAAGTGACCTACAAAAAAAAAAAAAAAAAAAAAAAATGGAGAACCTGGTGTTCTGAATCAGTATCTATTGAAAGAAGGTTTTTTGAAAGTGTAGAAATAAGTGAAGTTTCTCTTCATGTGTTTTGTGACGCCAGTCCCAAGGCATATGGGGCTATTGCGTTCCTAAGGTACATGAATTACAATGGCCAAATCAAAGTGAGCTTTATAATGTCAAAAAGTAAAGTTGCTCCTTTAAAAACTTTGACTCTTGCAAGATTAGAGTTAATGGCAGCTCTCCTCGCTGCACGTTTAGGAAATTATTTACAAGGTCTATTTCCTAATTTCGCGAAACAAATTTTCTTTTGGAGCGACTCTCAAATCGTCCTTCATTGGTTGTTGAAAGGATCTTCTAAACAATGGAAACCATTTGTCGCCAACAGAGTAGCTCAAGTGCAGTCGCTGACTCTACCAGAGTGTTGGAACCCATTGCAGTGGCTCCGACAATCCCGCAGACCTTACTACTAGAGGAGAATCGGCTAGGAGGATTCTTACAAGTTCTCTGTGGTGGTCAGGCCCTGTTTGGTTGTCTAAACCACTTTACTCGTGGCCTCTTCAAGAATCGCTACATCATTTTAATGACATCTGTGATGAACGCGTTATGTAGTGAAAGAGCGACGGACTGCACTGGTTAATTCCATGGTAACCAGTTCAGCTAATGGAAACTTACCTATGTCGTCGTTACTGGACGTTAATGACTTCAGCGAATTAAGTAGATTACTGCGTGTTACTGCTTGGATTAAAAGGTTTGTGCACAATTCTAAACCTAATTCTACAAAATTAAATGGACCTATATGTGCTCCAGAACTCGAGCAAGCTTTGCGTTTTTGGATCAAAGCTACTCAATTCAAACATTATAGTACAGAAGTTACCCAACTTCTTTCTAAAGGAACTATCGATAAGAGTTCACGCATATTTAATTTGAATCCTGAACTTGATGATAATAACTTACTTTGTTTAAAGGGACGTTTACAGTTTTCAAGTAACGATATGCGAGCCAAACATCCTTGGCTTCTTCCATCTAATGATAAATTTGTTGAACTACTTATCTGTGATTCTCATACTAAAATGTGCCATTTAGGTGTTGATGCAACTTTAACACATTTACGAGAACAATTCTGGATTGTTAAAGGTCGTCAATTTGTGAAAAAAGTGTTAAATAACTGTCTGATTTGTAGACGATTCAAAGTGAAATCTGGAATGCAGGTGGTTGCCCCTTTACCGCCTGATAGAATTCAAGAGCATCCACCATTTGATGTATGCGGTGTGGATTTTGCCGGACCATTTTTTGTTCGTGATTTTAATTCAAAGTGTTATTTACTTATATTCAGCTGTGCAGTGACAAGAGCTATCCACTTAGAAGTAGTTCTTAACATAAGTGCTGATTCCTTTTTGTTAGGATTCCGACGATTTGTTTCTCGTCGAGGATTATGTTCCACTATATATTCTGATAACGCCAAAGCTTTTAAAAAAGCAAATAGTGAATTGAAAAAAAAATGGTGGAATCAGATAGATAATGATCAAGTTAAAAATTTGTTTGCTTCTAAAGGTATAGTTTGGAATTTTATAGTTGAAAAAAGTCCATGGTGGGGAGGTTTCTGGGAGAGACAGATACGGACGGTTAAAACCTGCTTAAAGAAAATTGTTGGACGATCCTCTCTTTCTTTGAAGGAATTGGAAACTGTTTTTTCGGAAATTGAAGCTCTGGTTAATTCCAGGCCTATCACGTATCTGTACAACGAACCCTCAGAACCCTCTCCACTCACCCCATCTCATTTTCTTATTGGTAAAAGATTGGTGTCTTTACCTGTAATAAAACATAAAAATGAAAATTTAAATGTTAATAAGGAATTCTTTGTTAAAGAAATATAAATATCAGCAAACACTTTTGAATCACTTCTGGAACAGGTGGAGAAAGGAATATTTACTTAATCTAAGATCAGCTTATATTTCTCCACAACCAGGAAAAATAGTTTCATTTAAAGTGAATGATATTGTTTTGATTAATGATGAACGTTATCCCAGAAATATGTGGATGATGGGAAAAATTTTAGAGCTATATCCAGGAAGAGATGATGAAAAGTTCGTTCTCTTCTTATTCAGACTCCTAAAGGACAAATAAAACGCTCAGTACAACTTGTGTATAATTTGGAAATTAATCCTTAATTGTGTTAGTTTAATTGAGTTGCAACCTGTTAATGTTCTATCTGTGTATTAATGATAGTTTAATTGTGCTTATATTTTAATGCTTGATATTTGAACAATTTTCTTTGGAAGTTAAAAGTGTAATTTGTTTTTGTATGTTAAGTCACTGAATAATTTTGAAGCTTTGTATTTGATATAATATGCTATTTATATTTTTATTCTTGTAATTTTAAATGGTTCCTGAATGTAAATTTAGTTGAAATTCAATGGTAAGTGAACTCAAGTGAGTTCAGGTGGGGAGTATTACGTATTTCCAGCGTCATTCTGACTAGAGGGCGCTGCGTTCGTCCTAATAGTCAGTGGCAGGCAGGATACTAAAGGTGTAGGACATGGAAGGCAGAGATGCCTAATAATATATCTCTAATTGATTGAAATTTTCGTATATTTTCTTGTAAATAAATGTTGTTATTGTTAACAAAACCTCGTATTATCTCTTGGATGCGCCTTTAGTCTCACAGAACCATTAGATGCAAAACTGATTACAAAGAAGAAAACTTTGATTATGAATTAATTTACATAAAATTAGAAAAATCAGGTGATCCAAAATTCAGGACACCTTTAAAATTTGCATTTCAGCAAATTTTTAAAGCATAGTAATGTAATTAACATATGGATGGATAAAATTATGTCACATTTTATAATTAATAAAAAAGAATGCAAAATGCATCATAATAACTGTTGAATTTGGTAGCCACTATTAATGAATGCCTGATAATAAATTAAGATATTAAGTAGTAGAAAAATACTTTCAGTGAAAATCATTGATACATGCAGTCACATAGTAACTTTCTGCTAAGTCAAAACCTTGGATTTATGAACTCACTTAACAAACGTTTTTAAAATAAAATAAAAATTTTAAGATTATCATAACACTTGATCATCAAATATTATGATGACCCTGATCATCAAGAGAAGTAACTTTTCCCATACTTGAAAAAAGGTTTCCTCGAGATTATGCCTGAGACAATAATCACACCTCTGTTAAAATTCAGCCATATTTGATATACATCATATCTAGCAACCATTTCCAACTTCTAGGCTTTATATAAATGATGCATTTAAACATGATCAACAAAATATGATCACAGAGCATTACATTTGGCTATTTCAAAATTACATTTTTATTCTTTGATAATTATTAGTTATGTAATTTTCAGTAAAGCATCAATAAATAAAAGACTTAAAACTTTTACTAATTAGATAGCCATTTAATGACATTACTTAATTCCAGTTAAAAAAAGCTGAAAATTATATGTATAGTTTTTGAAAATAAAAATCATACCAGACATTTTGGTAAATACTGGAAGGCAACTTTCGTTTAAAAAGCTCCATATTCTGATAATGACCAATAACTCTCTTAGAGTGTTAAGGGCTTTGACATCAGAAATTAATCCTCCCTTCAAAGAAAAAAATCAATATGAAAAAATACGAAACAAAAGAATGGACCATTTATTTCTAGAAGATTTCACAATATTTCTATTACACATTAAAATGTTTAACTACTGATCTAAGCTTACAGATCTAAGTCCTTTTAACATTACAAATTTCTAACTACATCAAATAAAAATATTTCTATCTACATCTGAGCTTCAATTATTTTGACTGATTATGATATTAATCCATCTGGATGAATTTGCCTAGATCAGGGGTTCTCAATCAGGACAGAATTCTCCCTTGGGACATTTTATAGATCCAGATGAATGCAGTCAACCTTTTTCTTAACTGCTAATTATGTAGTTTTAGTTCACAAATATATAAAAACAACTTTTATTCAAATTTTGGTACTTACCAGCATTTTCTATATTTATTTGTTTAATTTATAAAACATTAAAAATAATAAAAATTTAATAAATATTACACAGTGCAAAAAAAAAAAAGGGACAGTTCTATATCTCCCGTTCTGAGTCGACTGACGAATTCAAATTGCTTTTTTCATGTCTTGAAAGCACAACTTAGAATAAATATTAGATTTATATATAGCATTGTTCTAATATAGGTATTTTGACACAAATTCACTTGGCGAACTTCTTCATTTATAGCAACCTATTTTCCTTTTGCTTTTTAAACTGTGCATAAGCGGAAAAAATTCACCCGTTCCTACTTTCAAACAAACAACTGGAAATAAAAATGGAATTAAAACCGCCTCGATCGCCAAGTTTTTTAGTATTCACTAATTCTATGTTTTAAGTATCAAATATCTTCATAATCAGCATTTCTACGCTTCTACGTCATAGTATTCCTACATCATGGCTTTTCTGAAATTTCCTTCTATAGCAATATTAATCAATCAGGATGTGTACCTGTGTTTTAACACTCCAATGGAAAATTTATTTGATCAGTTCTACTTATCCAGAAATCTACAGTGAATCACGGGATAAGTTAAGTGAATCATGAGGTATGCCCTGTTTCACTGAAAATTTTAATACAAGTTTGTGCCGCATTTATAATCAAACTGCTTGTTCATGTTCTGCCAATGCCTATAAAACGGGTGGGGGGAAAAAATCAGACTGTGTGATCATCAAGAATTTAAGTGCTTTAAGCTCAATGGGAATATATTTCAACCAGCAACAAAATGATATTCCATTCATCAGTCTGTGCTTATAAAAACAGTGTTTTAAACTGCTATATGTGAGGAACTTCCGTTCTGCATTGAAAATTAACTGAGGTCATCAAGTGTCATTTACTTTGCACATGTTTAACTGCCAAAAATCTTTTAATCCATTTCTGATTCCTGCATTTTAATATACGGTCTTATGTTTATCCAAATGACTTTCTTTCAGTCAAAGTGTATTAACTTACTGTTTTTCACTGAAGCAAAACTTATGCTGGTTCAATGGATTTTAAATTTTGTATGAAAAAAATTTAGCTAAAATTCAATTTAATTTTATTGTTTTAAGATAAAACATAGCATATAATACAAAAGATAAAAATGCAAGTATTCTGAAATTTTCATTTAATGGTTTGCTTTTTATTTGATATTTTCTACTAATATAGTATGTTTCTACTATTAAATTTTCATATTTAAAATAATTAAATTAATTAGTAATACTATTCTTCTTGTTTTATGAAAATGAAAAATTAAGACTTAAGGTCAAGTTTAAATAACTTTTTTAATTAAATAAGCAAAGAATTAAATTTTCTTTCAAGGAAGATTATTAAACTGTAATGTCCTTAATGATATTTATGAGTAATTTTTTTAAATGTTTGAATTAATTTTAAGACTTTTATAAATATTTTTAGAATGAAGTGAATATACAAAATAAATGAAGTTAATACAGATAAGAAATATGAAATTATGGTAAATTCATGTTAAAATTTATGGGGGATTGTATGTTAAGTATAGAGTATGTTGAGGAAGTACTGGTTGTGAAACAGAGGCCTGTTATTATTCTGTATAGTCGTTCCTCTAGGCACCCTCATATAAGATAATCTTGAAGACTCTCATTTTATGATTATACTTTTTTTATTATGGAATGTATTAGTGCAGTTCACAAAGGCCAGTTACCTTATGCAAGAAATGGAGGCCTTTCCACGTAACTGCCTTAGCATCCCTGAACCACTAGTGCAGAAGAAACACACTGGTTAACTCAAGAGGATAGCCCTACTGATGGAAATGTTTGTTTAGAAGTACTGAGAGGCCTTTCAGTTTGATAAAATCAGGAACTGTAAATGAAAGATAATAACAGTGAAACCATAATTTCTGCAAATGTTAGTCTTATTATATTTACGATGCTAAAATATAATTTATCAATATGGAAATTAGTATAATAAATATTTATGCATGATACATTTAATTATAAGTAATGATTATCTAAAAGTTTTTATTTGTGATTCTCTGCAATAACAAGAACCTTCCCTGAAGAATTATGATTAAGTAAACTTTCAAACAAAAAGACCTTGGGACTGAAACATTCAAGAATTTAATAGGACTTTAAAAATTTATACTTTATAATTATTAATTGTGTTGGTCAAAATTTTATGATTTGCATTCATTTGCTACTGCTTTAATGCTTTAGCATTTTCTCTCTAAAAAAGATTTTTCTCACCCAGTTATTTTTCTTCGTGAAGAGAGGGAATATATAAAATGTAAAATATCTATCTTTCAAATAATAAATTAATAATAGCCCTTTAACTCCTGTTTTCATTCTAAAAATAATAATATTTCTAGACTGCATCATTTCTATATTAATCTATGCCACAAAGCTTGCGTAACACTGATGGCATAGTAATTGGGAACTGAAACTTTTCTAACTCAAACCGAAACCTTCCTTCTTCGTGTGCCTCCATATTGGATAACTATGTACTTTAACTTCTGTCTGTGTGATGCTTGCTCGTAACTTCGCTGTCCTGCCTTCCTATCGCAAAAGTATCAAAAATATAAATGCTCTGGAAATAGGCACAATTAAAATACCAAGTGAATTGTGGCCACAAATGTCAACTGTAAATAAGAATGGAATTAAAACCGCCTCAATTGCCAAATTTCCTACCCTTTACGACTTCTACGTTCTAAGTATCAAGTATCTTCGCAATCAGGATTTCTATGCTTCTACATCATAGTGCTCCTACATCAATGCATCACCGAAATTTCCTTTTATTACATTGTTATATGTAAAATATAAAATAACTACCTTTCAAATAATAAATTAATAATAACCCTTTAATTCCCGTTTTCGTTCAAAAAATAACAATATTTCTGGACTGCGTTATTTCCAGATTAATCTATGCCATGCGTAACTTTGATGACATAATACTTGGGAACTGAAACTTTTCTAACTCAAACCAAAACTTTCTTCTTCGTGTGCTTCCATACTGCATAACTATGTACTTCTGTTTGTACACTGCTTGTTCGTAATTTTGCTGGACTCCCTTCTTATCACAAAAGTATGAAAAATGTAAATGTTCTGGAAATAGGCACGATTAGAGTGCCAAGTGAATAGTGGTCACAAATGTCAACTGGAAATAAAAATGGAATTACAACCACCTGGACTGCCAAGTTTCTTATTCTTTACGTCTATGTTCTAAGTATCTTCGCAATCAGCATTTCTATGTTTTTACGCCATAATGTTCCTACATCAGTGCTTCTCTGAAATTTCCTATTAGTATATATATGTAGCACATACAGTCATTTGATTCTGAATAAGAGAATCAGTTATAAACTTTTCAATCAGCCTGCAATTCTAGATATCTTGAAAATAAGAATAACTAGAGCTCTCTTGCACTTAGCACTTGAATAACACTTCACATATAAGAGGCATATTCGGAAACTAAGTACCGTTTTGAAAAACAAAATAGTAAAACAATTTTTTCGAAGCCAATTTTATTTTTACATGAAAACATCTTAAAACTTTTGGCAACATAGTTTCCGCCAATGATCAAAATTGTCATAGCGGGTGACCAGGTTTGTATACCAATCGTCAAGAACTTCCGCCAGTTTCATAACACAACTCCACAGATTTTCGTGTCATCGTCAGATCCAAAGCGCTTGCCACCAAGCCGCGCTTCATGTTCAGAAACAAGTGTAAGTGGACTGGCGCCAAGTCCGGGTGTACGGGGGTGATCGAAAAGCCCAATGAAACTTTTTAATAACATGAGTGACACCAGCAGTATGGTGCCAAGCATTGTCATGGAGCAACCAAACCTTTAAGCATCCTCTTCATTTGTTTTGAATGGCACGCCTTAGTTTGTTAAAGTCTCACAATATCATGCCGCATTATGGTTTCACCTCTGGGAAGAAATTCAGTAAGCAAACGCCTTTCTATCCCAGAAGACAGTGCACATGATTTTTTGTGATGACGGTCACTTTGACTTTTGTTTTGGAGAATGAGAGTGTCTCACTCCATCGATTGTTGTTTTGATTCTGTGTGAAAGACACCCCAATTTCATCACCTGTCACAATTTGCTTTAAAAAGTTTCTTCCTCATCTGTACCGCACAGAAATGTCAGGGCAATACCAGTCGCTTGTACTTGGAACATCAGTGACCATTTTTGGAACCCATGGAACACAGGCGATAATTCAAGCGTCAGACACAATTCGAACAAAACAGTACGTGAAATTTCTGGAATGCCTCTGAAAGAGTTGTCATTGTGAAGTGTGGTTCTCATGAATTGCTTCATCAACTTTCCTTACCAATCATCGTGACAACAAAGGCCGACCACCGGTCCGGTCCATCGCTTAGTAATTAACATTCTTACCGTTAACCTTCTGTCACTGAAGATAAATTTCGGCCGGTAACACTCCTTGCGTTCAAAAATTTAATCACTGCACGAATCTCACAGTCAGCGGGAGAACTAATTGTCTTAAACATTTTGAATGTGCACAGCAAACTGAAAACACAACATAGAGGAACCAAAATGGCGACAAGAAAGCGACAGTGAACAAGAAAGACTAGTGCGCATATGCGGGACGCCTATCACAGCGCTGCGACAGTGCTAGAATGAAACGGTACTTAGTTTCCGAATACGCTACATACAATATACTCATAGCAATACATGTCACTACAAGCTGTAATATTAGTGTACTGATGATGCCAAAAATCATCTGCTCAAAATATAAACTTAATAACCATTTTCAAATTAAAAGTTTTCTGTAATATGTGAAATTAAACTAATTTTATTTTCTAATAGCTGAAAAACTTTTAATATGTAGTAGGATTCAAAAGTTCCCGGATTCAGTCTATAACGTAAAAATTTTTCGCAGTAGTGCGACTATGAAAACGTTTTTGTGTTACTACGTTCTCCCCCTTTTCTAAAAGTGGTTTGCCCCAAATCAAATTGTCAAAAGCTCACAGTAACAGCATTTTTTGTAGGCAGGCACATTCAGTAACTGGTGATAGAAAGAAATGGTATCTGAGCAGAGAATCAATATCAAATTTTGTATTTGCTTGGGAAAGAGTGCTACAGAGACTTTCAAAATGTTGAAGCATGTTTACGGAAGTAAAATGTTATCGAGAATGCAAGCTTTTGAGTGGCACTGTTGTTTCAGAGAAGGCAAGGTAAGTGCCAAAGATGACAAACGCTGTGGCTGTCCCGTGACTTCATGCACCCATGAAGACATCAAAAAGGTGTCTGTGGCGGTACAGGCAGCAAACAATTTGCTAAATAGCAGAATTGGTTGAGATATCAGAGGACACATGTCAGCGGATAGTGACTACAGATCTTAGCATTCATAGGGTGTGTCAACACATTGTTCCCTGCATGTTAAACGTTGACCAAAAGAGAATTTGAAGGAGACTTAATCTCGGCTGTTGACAAAGATCCTTTCCTACTTAACACAATTGTTACTGGAGACAAGAAATGGTGCTTTTCGTACAACCCGCAAAACAAGAGAGCATCGGCAATGTGGAAATCACCATAATCTTCACGGAAGCAGTAATTCCGCCAAGATCGTTCTAAAGGAAAACTCATGCTAGAGGTATTCTTCGATATCCAGGGCACTGAGCATCTGGAATTTATCCCTGAAGGGCGCACTGTGAACAAGAACTCTACTCCAAAATCTTGCATCATTTACATGAGTCGATCCGGAAGAAGAGACCAAAAATGTGGGCTGAGCAGTCATGGGTGCTGTTGCATGACAATGCGCCTGCTCACCGATCCCTACTCGTCAATGACTTTCTTGCAAAAACGAAAACAACTGTTTTGCCTCGTCCTCCTTACTTACATGATCTCGCACCCTGCAATTTCTTCCTATTTCCTGAACTGACAAGATGCTTGCAGGGTCATGGATTTCAATCTTCATATGAAGTTAAATGTGCATCGCAGGCTGAATTTAAGAACATGGCAAAACTAGATTCCAGACATGCTTCGAAGAGAACTTTACAGGCACTGGCAAAAGTGTGTTGTTGCATAAAGATCTTATTTTGAAGGAGGATGTGTTTCTGCAATTTAATTCATAATATTTTTATGTTATAGACTCAATCCAGGAACTTTTGAATACTACCTCATATTTAAAAGAATCAAAGATACTACTGCATTACCCTAGTCATATTTCCTTCTTCAAATTATATAAAAGGAACACAGTGATTTAATTTTTTTTAATCACAATAGCACTGAAAACTCGCTGCCTATTTTAAATATAAAATAAATGTCATAACAATCATTGATATAATTAACATTTCCTACAACAAATCATAAATAAAAGTTACTCAGATGTAAGAATTGTTAACCACTTACGAGTTTAATTTTTTTGCCATATTGTGACCAAAAATAAGCATATTTTTTATACAGAATTTTGAGTTCAAATCAGCAGTCGAGACTGTTTCAAGTATTGCATTTTTTCGTTTAGGAAAAGTTTTAATTACAGCAAAAATAAAGCATTTTATTTAAACAAGGCAATAATAAGGTATTTTTCTGATAAAGGTGTAGAACTGCAAAATTACTTTACAGGAGATGGGGGAAAATTTTTTTAAATACTTTCTATTTCATTATATATTAATTTTTAATTCATTTCAAAATTCAGTTTTGGTATGTATGATATATTATAAAACGTGGAGATAAGCAGAATCCAATATCACAAGCGGAAAAAAAAATATCTGGTTTCTTCTCTGACATGTTTTCCACTATCCTTCCTTTTCGAGCCTAAAAGCCTAAACAAAAAGCAGTAATAAAACTTGTCCTTGAACTGGTTTGATCCAGTCTCTTCTAGAGTACTAGAGACATTTATTAGAAATGCTACAGCGAAAAAGCTGGGAAAAATCAGTGAATTGGTGTAGGAAAAATACTGTCCGAGTGGTGTACAGGTAAATCAGGGAAGTCCCCTTTTGTTGCACCGGAACGGTGCTCGGGCAAAGCCGTTAAGTGGTTAAATAATACTTAAAATCAATAGTTTGTTTTAACAATAGCATAGCAAATATATTCAATTAAATTATATACTACCAACAAAAATACACTCTTTTTTCTTAAAATATGACATACTTCTGAAATAAAAAGATATAAATCAAAAGGTAGAAACTACAATGTGGCTCTAAAATGCATCTGAAAATAACTTACCCCAGGAAATCGCATGTGATTCTGTGCCTGATGAGGCAAAGATGCTAGTAAATAAATAGCACAATCAGCGACCCACTGAGTAAGATGTTGCAGAGACTGCAAAATAGGAGGCTCCACAGTAAATTCTTTATGTTCCAGAAGCAATAATACCTTATCCATATGCATAATTGTCTCTGTGCCTTTACTAGTTAATATAGCTAAAAAGAAGGGAGGATTTAAAATAATTCACAAGCATGAAGTCCAATTCATGAAAAAAATTTATAATTTTATTTGCAAAAAGTGAAAAAAAAATCTTTACATGGGAGAAAGGAAAATTATTTGGTATTAATGTACTAACTAGCATTTTCTGATACATTACCAAAAAAAACTACCTGAGCATTTAACAACCCTAGAAACTGTTCAAAATTATTTCAGAAACATGAGAGATTTTTATTTATTTATTTATTTTCCTCTGTTTCTCTGTATTCTCCAGCTTTCTGAGGAGGGCTTAGAAAAGATAGGTATGTCTTTGTTTTTTTTTAATTCAACATCATTCTTATACCAATTAAAGTAAGTACATAATCTGCACTACAACATTTTTTATAACCCTTTCTCTGTGGAAAGTATTCAGAATATCATTTTGTTCATCTTGTGCTACTTTTTATTTTATTTCACATAATGCATTTACTAGATTGACTGAGAAATAAAGCAGAAGCAATTTATTATTTACAAACATATGATATTTTGCAAAAGAATTGCAAATGTTTCACTTCTTAAACAAAAAAGTGTACATGATGAAAAATCTGTAATAAAATGTAATGTTAACAAGAATCACTGAAGTTTTAGAATAAGAAACTGAGAAGTGGTTAAAGTGAAGTCATTTGCCTTCTTAAATACCAGACTTCATACGAAAGCAGAGACAAACTGCAGAGAATAATTATCTGATATGACTTTGAACACGATTGTCAAACAATACTTGATGGAAATCAAAAAAAGGGTTCTACTGATTTGCTAATGATAAAAAAATACTTCCTTGACAATTTTGTTGATGACATACTGGCAGATTTCAGTTTATACACAAGTATTAATCATTTTAACACATATACTGCCATACAAACAAATGGCTATAGTATCAAAAAGTTGTCAGTTGATATTATGACATCCACTTAAAAGAAAAAAAAAAAATCGTGATACTGGGGAGAAAATCATGTTGGTCATAAGTAGTAGATGTGGCCTAAACACAGTATTAGTTGCCTATGTCTCTCATATTTAATACACTATGCCACATCTATCACATCTGACATAACAGTGCACGAGAAAGATGACCCACAAATATAAAAGGTTAAAACTGAAATGCTAAACCCAATAGCTCAGTACAATGTTGATCTCACATACCTGACATAGCAGTATTTTTATAGTAACAGACCTGACCTTCTTTGAATCAGATAGAGATCATAAAATCAGATAACACAAAAACAGCCCATTACAGAAAAATATCTCATAAATTTTTACATAGGCATTTAGGTTATTAAGCAGAATTTTTTTTTTTCTTCCATGTAAATCTTTCCATGTAAAAGTGCACATGGAATCGACAGATACAAGCATGATTGTAATTTTATGAACTTAAAATTATTAAAAAAGAACTAAATTGTGTCTTGTTCTCTTTTAATTTGTAAAAATGTCCGTTACAGAGAATAAACTCGAAAAATCCAATATTTATTTATAAATATTTTCAGAAAAACAAATTTTTAAATTATTTATAAAATTACAAAATGAAAGTTCTTAGTTTGATTTTGCTTTTAAAACAGGTTTTCTCGCAGCAACTTCAATGAGTATAACATATCAGACTAAAAACAAACAAATAAGTTTCTCCTACTACTGAACTTTTCATTAAGGAGATCAAGCATACATCAAAGCAAAAAAACAATATATCTATATATATATATATGTGTGTGTAAGATAAACCAAAATAAGATAGCTGCTTTAAAAATCATTGTTGCGACCTTAAAATCAATGATTCTAGAATTTATGCTATCATCTGTTCTCCCAAATTTGATATCTTTCCATGTTACATAACACTTAATGCAGATACCTCTTGTACAATCAAAATAATTGTAAACCAAAACTTTTCTAACTCTGAAACCTTTGGCTCCCTCCCTTTTGAACTGTGGTGTCAACTTTTGCTTAAGCTTCCCTTTTGGCAAGACGCTTTGCTGCTGGGCTTGCTCATCTAAAATAATGCCATACTGTAAAACCCGTGTACATGGAAATTATTGCATTCAATTATGATTGAAAAATATCTCATCTGCAAAAGGATGATTTGATATGCGTAAAAATAAAGATTGTGATATTTCAAGCTCAATTGCATTAAATGCATCAGAATATCTTTCCACTCAGCCCTGTCTACAGCCACAAGCTGATAAAAGTAGATTTCTTCCTCTACGCTTTAAAACACAGTATTGCAAGCATTGTATATGTACATATATGTATATAAATGTTATAAATAAAGAAAAAATTCTAATTATGTAAAGTGTCATTATATTATATTATTTCATCAATAAAACCACATCTTTGATATGCTAGATTATAATATGCAAGTCTATCTGTAACCCTCCATAAACAGCAAATTTATTATTTCTATATATCATTAATTTTTACACATGTTTAAAATATAAATTATTTTTGTATTCATGATGCACTTTTTTACTTCAGAAAGCAGCATATATTTGTGTTATGCTAAAAGAATATTTGTTATTTCCGAAACATAAAAAAAAAAAAAAAAAAAAAAAAAAAAAAAAAAATATTACTGTTATAACTACAATTTCAAGAAGAGAAATAAAAGTTAATTTTTAAGCATTAAAATCAGAAATGAAATATGTTAGGATGGAATAAAACTTATTATGCCAACCACTTCTAAAAGTTACCAGTATTTCTGTGAACAAAATTAAATAACAACACTGAGCATCACTGATAGTCTTTTCAAAATGATAGTCCTCTACAGAATATAATCATCTGGAAATCCAGGTGATCATATTACAGAAGGTTCAATAGCATTTTGAAATACTTTCTTACTGATGTACTTAATTTTGCTAATCTATGTTAAAAAAAATAAATAAATAAAGTTCATTTATTTGTACCTCATACAATCAAATAAAACTTTTATGTATTAAATAACCTGCACACTATATAATGATAATGTCAGACAAAACAACATATGTGTTCAGATACTAATCATAAATTAATGCAATTAATAAATGTCACATGTGCATACCAGTCAGGTTTTCTGCTGGTCCTTTATCTTGACTAGATAAATCTCTAGGTCGTAAAAGGCCTTTCATGGCTGCTGCAACAGCATTTAACATAACAAGTGCATGACAATCACCTGCTTTTGCAAGTCCATTGCTTAGACACCTAAAAAATGAAATATATGCTCAAGAATAGCAAATGGAAAAGTGTATTGGGTATTTGCTTTACACAATTCTCAACACATTTAAAGAAATTAAACAGTTATTAAGACAGCAATAAAGTAAACAGGCATTTAATTAAAATTTCCCTTAACACAAGTATCATATTTAAACCATTTCCTAATAAAATCAAAGTATTTTTTTACTTTACAAATACAAAATAGTTATTAACAAAAAAGGTTATAAAATACATATTTTTAATTTTTACACAATATAAACAAGTTGGCAAGCTCCTTCTACAAACAAATGCACATAACCCCCCCCCCCCGAAAAAAAAAAGGATTGGAAAAAAAACTGGTCAGAAGAAATTAGTCTCTTCCACTACAGCGATTTTGTTGAAACTGATATTCAAAGCTGTTTTATATTTAAGACGCATATAACATACATAAACGCTTACAAAAATCAAAACTGAAAACACCAATTAAAACATTCTCGATCTCACAAAATACCTATATAAAAATCCTTTAAGGGCAAGAAATCGACAAATCCATCCTTGCTGAGATGCAGCTGGTTGACGATTAAATGATTCAGAAAGCTTCTCACATATGCTTTCAATTAAACCTAAATGAGGGGAAAAAATCAGAATGTGTATAGAAATAACTTCAAAATTAAGAAAGAAATTATTCTTGTATTTAAAATTAAAAATAAACTTCAGTGATATACAATTGAAAACAATAATGGATGCGACACCATCATATTTGTAAATTAATTTAAATCTAATAACAGTATCAATATCAGAAATAATTAATTATGAAATTCATGCAAAAACAAATAATTTTTTTAAATAAAAGAATATGAAGATTTTTTAAAACATGTTTCTTTAAAATTATATGTATTGAATAATTTACTTCGTACTTCAATAACTAACGTAACTAAAATAGCAGGTTGGCAAGACTGTATTTTCGGTTTTTTAGTATGAAATAGACTCAATTTTTCTGTACAAAAAAATGAACTTTAATCAGTCAAATATCTTTCATTCTATTTGATAACCTTTTGCCATCTTTCTGTCAACTTCATGATTCCGTGCTCATAGATTTTCTGGTTTTTATTACCAAAAAACTCAAAAAGGTGCATGAGACTTTGTGTTGTTGTGTTGGAACATAATTACTTTGCATTTTGCCTAGTTCTGACCTTTTTTCCTTGATTGCTTCCTCCAGTTTCATAAGTTGTTGGCAGTAAACATCTGAATTCATTGGTTGGTTGCTTAAAAGCATGTCAAAATATACAACACCTCTGTAACCCCACCAAATTGACAGCATGATCTTTTTCTGATGCAATTTAGCTTTTGATGTGATATATGCTGATTCATCAAGAATCGACAATGGTATTTTTTTAGTAATGTTAATGCAGACAATCCATTTCTTATCACCAGTGACAATTTGTCTCAAAAAGTTTAAATTGCATTACCATTGAAATATATTCACAAATAATGATTTGTTTATGAATTTCTTTCAATTCATGCGGAACCCAAATATCGAGCATCTTAACTAGTACAAGACATCTTACATCTTATGTAATTTTCAGTTGTCATGTGTAATACATTTGACTTTTTTGCAATCTCTCGCACATTTGCATAACGATTTGATTCAATTGAGGCTTTAATTTTGTCATCATCAGTTTCAGAAAGTCAGCCAGAACATTGGTGATCTTCAAGTGAAAAATCTTTTCAAGAAAATTTCTTAAACCATTCTGACACATGTATTCTATTAAGCAATCAATATCACAAACTACACATATCTCTTTGTGAGCCTCAGCTGCTTTCTGGTCTTTATGAAAACAAAAAAGTAAAATATATCAGAAATGTTTATTTTTTACCCCATTGTTAAAATCGACAGTAAATCAACATTTGTAAACAAAAATACATGGAATTTTTTCCTATAACAGCCTAAAAGTGTCAGATGATAAATCTTAAAAAAAATATATATATATATATATATATATATATAAAATTAGCAGAAGAATAAAAAAATGAATACAATACTATCTATTAATGCAAATCAAGATTACTTTCTTGCCAATGAAATATAAAATTTTTATAAGACAAAATGCATAAACAAAATAATAATAATAAAAGAATTACCAGGCCTTAAACTTAGGACAACATCCCACCAATCAGTTCCGGTCATTAAGCAGTACTCCAATACGGTTATCGCATATGAAGCACTCATAGGACCACCTAAAGATAAAAATTTACTGCTACACATGTATACACACAAATAACATATACATATTCACATACACATTCAAAATGACAAAATATATGAGTTAAAAAACTTAACAGAAGATAAAAACTTGAGAATTGATTAAAGCATTTCTAATAAAATTACAGAATGAAAGTTGATGAATGTCTCATTAAGGTTATTTAAAAATTTTATGTTAAAACTACCTTAACATTAATTTGTAAAAATTCTTAAGAATATACGTTATTCTTTATGTAATATAATCAATTATGTCATAAAATAGAAATCAAAATTTATATTTTAGCTATTCAAAATTCTGTTTAAAAACAATATTTCAGGTTTAGACAAGATTTCTACAATATTAACGTTTTTGCTCATTATATATTTTAGTTATTAAAATGTTATCTTATTTGCTACAGTGACTTTCTAACATTAGTACACCACCAACATTTTATGATTTGATTTTTGTATTCAAATTTGGCTAAATCTGAAAGAACTTCTGAGATAGAACAACTAATTTAAGAATCACAATGTTTTTCCCAACATAAGCTCAGAGGTATACATATGTTACATATATATATATATATACCTTTATAAAATCCCAATATAAGTTCAAAAGTAAGATTTTGCTGTAAAATTTCAGCAAAAATTCAAAATTTACAAATAAGTTGAACTTAAAATCACCCTACAAATCCAGCTACATTTTGCCAAAAATATGAATAACTAGCTGCTTTACACAGATCTTATCACGTCCTTATTCAGTCAAAAAATACACTTTTGGTGCTAATTTCTGTTTTTCAGTTCTCCCAGCTTTTAGGCATGCACACCATTTGAAGCTTTAAGAATAACACAGTGAACTTTACTTTAGTTCCTGTTTGTAGTAATGATTTTCAAAGAAACATAAAAGAAATTTTCTCCTCATTTACACTTTTATGAGTAAAATATAATTCTTCATTTCTACTGTATGGTAAAATATGCTTTGAGTAGAAAAAGACTGTGTATTCTTAGTCTTAAGGTAAAACAGTATAACTTTGCTGTATACTTTATAGAAGAAAGGATTAAATAGAATGTGCAAAACCATCCGAATCCAGAGCTAAATATAACCGAAACCCTTTAATTCTTAGCACTAAAATCAATGGATTTTGTTGTTTCTGTTGGATGATGCAATTGCTTTATGAAACTGATATAATCTGTGCCTACAATTTGCCAAAAGAGTTTAAAAAAAATCGTTAAAAAAATTCATTAGTGAACTTTGAAATAACATAATTCTGAAATATTGCAAATTGGGAATATAGCCAACCCTCCATTACATTTTGATTTCTCTTACCTCTGCTATAATTTTTTAGCGGAACACCTTGCCTACAATTCTAAATTTCTCAAATGGTATTTTATTACATGCCCATGTCAAAGATTTGAAAAATGGTATGACATTTTGAAATTCCAGTCAAAGCATGGAAAAAGAGGATGGAATTATTTTTAATAAATCATCACAGCTTGTGTAAGATTCCATTCAAGCTCATCTTATCAAAAAAGTCAACGAATGACGCTGGGAAATGAAGTCATCTGGGGCTGCAATTACATAAATAATCACATTTTAAGCTAACAGATATTTCTCTTAAGAAGCTTCTGAAAATAGCCTTAGAATAAAATGACTAGAATGGATGATATCAGCAGATATATTATCTATAAGGCAAATGATAATAATGCTTATGATGAAATGGACGAGGATGACATTCACTCGCATTTACTTGTAGATTTTTAAGAATTGCTGGAAAACTCTAAGCATTGAGAAATCTCAGCAATATATATATTAAAATTATATAAATCTAAAGTATTTTTTAAAAATTATTACCTATAATATTTTTTGACTGAATTATTTAAAAATCATTTCGAAAAGTGTATAAGCTGACTCCTAAATTTCAGTAGCAAAAAAACTGCTAAAAGTCTTTTTGGCTCATATAAGAAAACACACAGTAAATTTCCAGAAATTAATTATATATATATATAAAATATTCAGAATGAAGTTTCCAAAACAGCAAATGGCAAGAAAAAATTTGCTATGATATTATTTCATTACAAATGCATGCTATACGGAGATTTTTGCACCTATTTATTAAAGAAAATAATTATTCAAGATTCAAAAAAGCAATTTTTTTTCATTGAATCACCTCTCGATGAAGTATATAAAAAATATTTCTCACAAGTGACCACATTCTTTAAATTACCAAAGGTATGAAATTTACACAGTAAAAAGAATAACATATTCTTCAAGATGTTAAGGATATTTACCTTAAAAATAAAGTAATTACTTTCATTCTGCATAAAAGAGCTTATTTTCTAGAGTATGATAGTGAAAGTTTTATTCTATAACTATTTTTATTTACTTATTATGCCAAAGCTTTAATCCAGTTGCAGGGTTATAATCAGAGTTTTTCTATAAATGTAAACAACACAAATATTGAGAAGTTATGAGGAAAAGTAGGATGAGTTGAAATCCCCAAATGGATTTCTGATAACTTGTGGGAGCTTAAGTGTAATTTTTACGTGAACAAATGATGAAATTTAGCAATAATGGCTTGTATCTAGTCACTGGTGTGAATTACTTTTGATGCAATTTCTTATGCTCTAATTTTAGAAGTTTCTTTTACTATGTAATTGGATGTGGATGTTTTAAATGGCTCAAAGGAATAAATATTGCACTAAACTGCCACTAAAATCAAATCAATATTTGGTATCATCAGCAATGATATGTAACATTCCACTTGTTGCACTCCTTAATAAAAATATCTATTGTTTAAGTTTGCAGAAATCAATGCACTATTTTTTTATTAGCATTCCAGTTATCTTTTTATAATCCTAAGTTTCTGTAACCACATTTACATATTTCTTTGGAATAAAAAAGTAACAAATAAATAAGAAATTCAGAAGTGAAATTTTTCTGCAACTGATTAGTAGAGTAAGAGAAGGCACATGTAAAGGCTTTATCTGTATGTTTTTAAATAAACAACCAAATCATTTCCCAAAAGAAAAACATTTTGTACCTTAACAGATGAAAATAAATGACATAACATGAATCTTCAACAAATAAGAAACTAACATAAACACAAATTTCAATTCCAACACCATTTCGTAATTATCTCAAACTATTAATAATTATTTCCTATGATACACTTTTCTCTTAAATGAGAATTATTATTATTAATTCCTATCCTATTCATAGCTATTATAAAAAATATATATTTCTTGGTCGTATATATTATATTATATTTTAATAAGTCAACGTACTTCATCAACTCCTTGTGCATCAGAATTTCATAGCATAATTTGAAAGTCTATAAACATATTAATGTTTTTGAAGATTATATGACTCTGTATATACAATTTAAAAAGAATAAAATAGTGCCCCCCCCCCCAAAAAAAAAAAGAAAAAAAGGGTATCTGCAAGTAATTTATTACAAAATATCTCATTTTTATTTGAAAGAAAGTCCATTTTGGTAAAAGAAAAGGAAGTACCCTTCCACTCTTAAAATAACATTTCTAAGTTGTAAAAACTATCATAACGATAAACAGATCTGAAATAAAAGAATGTTGAAATTTTAATAGTGGCAATACTGCTGTAGAGACAACAAAACCAGATGATGCCATTTATACTAAATATATTGTTACGAAATGTACAGGCGCTGTAAGATGGCTTCCCCGCAAAGCAGTTTTAGGGTTGTCGTAAAATAGCAAGGAAGGCAGGGTTGCCACATTTGGCGAGAAATTGCGCATTTGGCAACATTTAGCGACAAAATTGGTGATATGCCATGGACGGATGGAGAACCTTCTGGAATGAATTCTTACCGGTTTAGCCCAGAATGTTGTTGAACATAAGCTGAAAGCTATATAAACCCTGCTGGTCCGCAATCAGTGTGAGTGCCTCGTCGAGTGCGAGATAGGTAGTCTCAAGTTAGTCAGTCCATGCGGAGTCGATCGAGGTGACAGCCGGGTAGTGAGTGCCAATTGGGTCGTCGAGTGCACTAAAGGAGACTCTTAGTGTATCGCGGTTATTCGTCAAGAGAATGTGTTGAGCTCCGGGAACGACTCTACCGAAGAGATGGGAGCTGTGCTCTGTGTGTCGTCGAGTTCATCGCGAGTTGTAGCGTGGAGAGTCTCGAGAGTACGTTCAGTTCCGAGAACGACCGAGCACAGCCGGCAGCTGTACTCTGGTACTTTGCAGTGGAGCTGTCTCCACCATTATTACCTGACAGCGTGAAGGCTGTGTCGCTGATTGTTCCAGCATGTTTATTGTAGATCTTCGACGACTGTAAAAGTGTTTTGCAGCCTTCCCGATTAATATTGGTAAATAAAGTGGTTTTGATATTCCAACAAGTGCTGTCGTTGTTATTCACTCCAATTCCACACGAACCCCGTACAAACAGGAAGGAAGAAAGTAATGCAACAACTGGTGACAGAAAAAAAAAGAAAACGTAACAATATGTTTAACTCAGAACACTTGGATTTCTCCCTTCCTACCTTAATCAATCTCGCAATTTTATAGAAAATGCTCGCAAATTTATAGAAAAGAACAGTGCCTTGTACTCTAAAGTAATGGCAACTATGATGTTATTTTGAAAAAGAATTGGATGAATACTGAATGCATCAAAAGCCATACAGATGACAGTATCACCAACATCTTCAAGAGACTAGCTTGAGGATAACTTTCATTCCTTACAGAACTATAGCAAAATGAGTAATATCTTTTAATGAAGTTGCAAAAATGTGACAGGCATGCCTTTATCCTAGAGTATGTGAAAAAGTGCAAGTTGCTAATGTGTTGTTGGAGATGAATTGGCATTGTACAGCTTGTGAATTCCCTTGCACATGGGATTAGCATAGATGACTGAGCTTCATATTCTGCATCTGGACAGGAGAAAATCATGAGTTCTACATGGTTTACAGAAATATTTTAAATGGTAACATTGTGACATTGCTCATATAATGTGGAGCACTTTCA